AATAAAAAACAAAAATAAAAATGGGTGGGAGGGGAGGAGAAGGAAGAGGACAATGCTGCTTTCTCCAGTAAAGTCATATGCTACAACAGGGTTGTTTAGATATATAAAAAAGCTTGAATGTAAAAATAAATATATCCCGTCAGCTTCCAAGGCTGACCTTTAGGGGTAGATTACAGTGTATTTAAAGGTTTGGTAATTAACTGAAATAAAACAAAAAGGATTTAAACAAAAAATAAAAAAGCAAAAAAACAAAAAAAACAAAAAAACTCGGAGAGGGGAGATGTAATTTGAGGGCAACCCAAACTTTCAAAAAAAAAAAAAGAGAGTGAATCCTCGCATGATAATTTAAAAAAAAAAAATTATTTTTGCAAAACACCCCGGCATTTTATTCTGTATGTATAGATGGACCATAGGGCAAAATTTGACAATTTGTAATAGTGGATTTGTTAATACTTTTTACGTAACGTTTACCCATTTTAAATCGTAGGGGAAAAAAATGTTCTTTTCCTTTCCACTCTCCTCTCCACCTTCCCCCCCACCCCGGACGATTCATTTCATTGAAAAAGAAACCCGGACGAAAGCTGAATTGTCATCTGAACAACGGACAAACGTCGCCAACGATAACACTTCAGCGATATGTGATGCTTTTTTCTCCCCCCCCCCCCTTTCAGCATTGAAATCATTTAATAGCACATTGACCTGAGTGCACAACTTTATTCTCCGAAGGAAAAAAAAAGAAGAAGAAGAAGAATATCCATGCCAGGGCAAATGCTTGTTTTATAAAATATACAAATAATCTTCCATTGTCAACTCTGATCTTGTATTCCACTCTGGGGAAGGAAAACAAAAAGAAAAAAAAAACAGATTTAAAACTTTTTCTTTTTTTGGTAAAATGCCGTCATCACTCAGGCGATGGGATATTTCCAGGTTAGCTTTCATTGGGGAATCATGGTTTGTTTGCTTTCAAAATAGGAAACCCAGTTTAACTTTATTAAAGGAAGGGATATGCGTCACTGCGTTAAGGGGAGGGGGGGGAAACCTGTTGACGTCTGTGTTTTAAGTCTTCCTTGTAAATCTGTCTGGTGTGTTTCCAAATGCATTGGGCTGCAATTTTCATTGCATGTGCTGGCTTGAGAGAGGAAATGAGAGTTGTGAATCAACCTTTAAAAAAAAAAAGCGCCAGATTGGGGAAAAAGGGTGGTGTAATTCCAATTCTGGTTTTTTTTTTTTTTTGCATGCATCCTGGATTTATTTAAAAAAAAAATTGTAAGAAAAAAATTCCCTTTTCTTGCAGCTTTATAGCTCTCCCTTAAAAAAAAAAGCAAGGAGAATCGTTAATGCAAAATGGTTGAGTTGTTGTTTTCTCTTTTAAGAAAAAAAGAAAAAAACCTGAACGTTACCTCATTCCCTTTTTCCAGAGACTTTTAAGATCCACCCTTACGAGAGAATTAAAAACAGTCTTCAATAATTGGGACGGCGTCGTCTGATGCTGTCTTAAAAGAGGCACCAAGCCACGTGTTAATTCTTCCTGAAATTCTCCCGCTTCCTAAAATGGGTTTCCTAGCTCAGGCAGGGTCGTGGATTTTAAGACGGAAAGTGAAATTCGGGTTGTGAATGCAGAATGTGAAAGGGGTTGAATTGCAGTCATTTGCTTTATCTGAAGAAGAAGAAGAGGAGGAGGAAGAAAAAAAAAACAGACAAGGAGCACTTTAATGAATAGAATGTAAAAGTGACGTTTACTGTAACTTTTTATTTTTCTTTATAAAGAGGAAAGTGTGTAATTCCGAATGTAAGATTATTGGGTGTATGCGGTCTGGAGAATGAACCCCCCCCCCCTTTTTAAAAAGAAATACTGACTTCCAGATGTTTTCTATTATAAATTGCAAACCAACCTGAACTTGGTGCTTGGTAGAGTGCAAAAAAAAAAGCTTTTTAAGTGAACAATAATTATAATAATGCAACACAACCAAAAACTCTCATGATTGAAAAAAAATTAATAAAATAACACTTGATCAGTGTTTCTCAACCTTGGCAACTTGAAGATGTCTGGACTTCAACTCCCAGAATTCCCCAGCCAGCGGCTGGGGAATTCTGGGAGTTGAAGTCCGGACATCTTCAAGTTGCCAAGGTTGAGAAACACTCCACTAGATCATAAAGCATTTTGACTTCGAAACGAAGAAAGGGGAGGGGGGTGGAAGCAAAATTCAAAACACCACAATCATCTAAAACCCTAGGCATTATTTTTTAATTTGAAATAGGAAAGTGTCGACAAAGAATTATTAGTTATGTTTTGTTCCAATCATTTATATTTTTTTAAGCCAAACGCCTTTCGTGAGCTAGAATTTGTCACAAGGATTCACATTATGCATTATCAGAGTATTTATTCGGAATTTTAAAAAATAAATATGTTTTATAACTGTAGGCCTACCCTGACACTCTTTGTTTTGGGAACAAAATTCTAAATTATTTTTCATCCAGTATTATTATTAGCTGCCATTTTAAAATGCTGTTACAAATGTAATACACCAGTTTGTATTACTCGCACCACACTGAAGGTTTTTTTTTATTCATTTATTATTATTATTATTTTTGGGAAAAATCACCCTCTTCATTGGAAACAGTTTGTCCGGTTGCAGAGATTGGTGTTCCAATACGCATGTGAGATTATTTTAATGTGGTGATAGCGGGAAGATAATCCTGATTCCATTGGGAATCTTAGGTTTAGTCTCAATTTATGGTTTTCATAAATTTTAATGGAAAAATAGCTTTTCCTGGACTGCTCAAGTTTCATTTTGTAAACAATATCTTTCTAACCGAAGAAGGAAGAAGAAGGAGAGAAAAAAAAAAGCATGAAGGAAAAATTGAGGAATTTTACTTGCCTCAAATAACCAGCATTGGTATTCATGAAACACATGTATATCTAGCAAAATCTTTTATTTAAACTGAACAGTTGAACTGTTCGTCTTTTTTCAATCTGAAGTTTAAAAAGAAAAAAATCACTTTCAGTACCTTTTAATTTTTGCCTGCTCATTTATCTTGTACACTTCATCTCTGTATTCAATTCAGATCTTAATTCCTTTTTTGAGTTTCAATACTTTTTTGTGGAAAAATTTTGTGAAATATATATATAAAAATAAATGTTTCAACAACGTTTTATCATTCATGGCATCTATTTTCTGTTTTTAAGGCATGCAATTTTTGTTTCCCCTCACCACTTTTTATTTTACCAACCAACTCTCCAAAATGACCAAGTTAACCATTGACTTATGGTTTAGATATTGAATAGCAAAATTTCCCATCTCAAAGGGAAAAAAAACCCACCTCGCAATGCCTACATTTTGCAAAGTAGTTTTGAGTTTGAAATACCCTCTACATCACAACTTGGTATGCTTAGTTTAACTCCATCAATAAATTCTATAGTCCTCATTTCCAGCACGCTAGTTCCTAAACATTTAACGTTGCGCACCACATTCTAATGATTTTGAGCCAAGGTGGCGCAGTGGTTAAATGCAGCACTGCAGGCTACTGCTAGATCAGCAGGTCAGCGGTTCAAATCTCACCGGCTCAGGGTTG